GTGCCCCTCCCAAGATTAGGTTCTGGATTCGCCCCTGCCATGTCAGCCACTCTAGGTAGACGCCAGGCTCTGGAGTAACCGAGTGACAGACGTAGTGAAAGAATGACACAGCGCATCCTTATTGGTCTTTTTTCAAAGAGAGGCCAACCAGAATGCGTGCTGTGTCACTCTCTCACTATGTCTGTAAAGTCTGCCTACAGAGTAGCTTGTGAATCTGCCTCCCTGAAATGAGGTGACCACCTCCCTGAAATTAGTTCTGGCATGTTGGGATGCAGTATTTTATCTATGTTTTTGGCTCCACTATACCTATATCCTCTACAATCTTATTCTTTCTAATAGTTTTTTTTTCATTTGACATATTTTATATGGTTATACACGAGCATGCAGAAGATACACAAACTAAGGAGGCAGCTTATAACATGTTTTACAACTGGTTTAGAGAACACTGTGCAGTAGGTGGTTTAGCTGAGTTCCGAAATTCCTCCAGTGAAATGAGTTTTACAGGTGTTAAATTTGAAACAATTACTACAAGCATCTCAAACACTGCTGAACTGCCCTTAACATGTTACAATCAGATTTATTTTACCCTATTAACCTTTAGGAACAATTACATTCTATGCTGGTCCATACACATTCTAGACCAACATGTAAAAATCCTGCTAGTAACAACAGCATTTCTATAAAACACTGCTGTCTCCTAATGCAAAAAAACCCAAAACAACATTTTATATTGGCATAAAGGCATTTTAGGCACTCCTTGTGATAAAAAAAGACCTAGGGTTACTCAGGCCCACCAGATGCTGATGGACTACAACTCTCAAAAATGATCTGAATGTAACAGAAGGGCAGATAATGATGGGACTTGTAATCAAGGACAATATGACAGCCCTAACATAGATTGTATTGTTAAAGGGATAATATAGGCACCAAAACAACTTTATCTTAAAGGGACACTATAGTGTCAGGACCACAAACATTTATTCCTGACACTACAGTTTTAAGATCACTATATAGGCCCCATGCCCCTCTCCCCTGTCTTTAGAAGGTAAAATCAATCACCTTACTTAGAGCAGTGCACAGTTCTCATCACCACTGGCCGTTCCCACGCTCACCACCTTGGCTGAGATCATGAAATTTGATCATCTCAGCCAATCAAATGCTTTCCTACAGGTACACATTGGGAGGTCATTGAGGATGCATGGCAAAACGCAGCGCTGCGCCAATCAGCATCTCCTCATAGTCAATGCATTGAGTCAATGCATCTCTATGAGAAACATAAATTACATTAGGCTGTAGTTGTTCTGGTGGCTATAGTGTCCCTTTAATTAAGCAGTTTTTGTGTATAGATCATGCCTCTGAAGTCTCACTGTTCCATTCTCTGCCATTTAGGAGTTAAATCACTTTTGGTTCTGTTTATGCAGCCCTAGCCACACCTCTCATGGCTGTGACTGACACAGCCTGCATAAAAAATATTTTCATTTTCAATCAGATGTTAACTCACTTCAGAAGTTTTTGTCTCCTGCTCTGTAAATTAAACTTTAATCACACATAGGAGGCTCCTGCAAGGTCTAGAAGGCTATTAACAGAGCAGTAGATAAGCATAAATTAAACAGAATTTACAATAAAGTAAGTGTAAACATTAGATCTCACTTTACAGGAAGTGTTTAGGAAGGCTGTGCAAGTCACATGCAACTGGGGTGCATGAGGGAGCAGTGAGGAGCAGGTAGACTGAGCTCCCTAGAGAAGATCCCCACTGGACCCCGGGTAGAGGCCTCACACTAGTTCCAAAGGTTGGGAGCAATAAAGAAAATGATGTTAGTGTGTGCAAAAATTTGGAAATGTGTGTGTGTGTGTGTCTGTCAGTGTGTGTGTGCCTGTCTGTCAGAGAGTGCGTGTGTGTCTGTCTGTCAGAGAGTGAGTATGTGTGTCTGTGAGTGTGTGTGTCTGTCAGTGAGTGTGTCTGTCAATGTGTGTTGGTCAGTGTTATGATGATCGCGGCTGGACAATGGAGGACCTGGAGGTGCACAGAGGCACGCAACGCCATGTCACATTTCACAGGTTTTAAAGGAGTAGCGGGAGAATCTGCTTTGGCACAAGGTGTGGACGGCGCCATTGGGGGTATACCAGAGGCTGGACTCCAGAGTCGCATACTGGCAGCGACAATGTGAGTGGAGTCTGCTTTTTGGCTAATATTGTTTGTTTTGTTTTTTTTTGTTTTTTTTTTAGTAGAGAGTTTGCTGGGATTTAGTAGGGGGTAGGACTGGGATTTAGTATAGAGAGGGGTACTAGGAATTAGTATAGAGGGAGGACTGGAATTTAGTTCAGAGGGGGGACTGGAATTTAGTACAGAGGGTGGGACTGAGATTTAGTACAGAGGGGGGGACTGGGATTTAGTAGATGGGGATGTTTTTTTTTATACTGTATTTTTTAAAACAAACCTATGTTTCTATGAAAATTTAAGGTTTTTTTTGCGGCCCATATAAACCTAAACTTTGTTTATGTGGCCGTGCTAGCCTTTGAGTTTGTCATGCTTGCTATAATATATTTGCAACTGACTGTCAGCGATGTAAACTATTTCTTCTACCTGTAATCCTGACTTTATGTATGTAATCTGTAAAATCAATGAAAAACTGTTCTGTAGTCCTTATTTCATGAGCATACTAAATTGAAATAACAAATACACATTCATTTAAATAATAAAAATAATTAGCTTCAATATTGTGGCAGGGAAAGATTTAGATTTTCAATGTAACATTCCTGTTCTACTCTTTTTCTTCTTCCATACACCCTCTAAAGAAAGCTTAGAAATGATCATGATATGCTTTGCTACAGATTAAATTACAGTTTAATAGCTGGAAAAAAAGTATGAGGAAGCAGAGCTCTAAATAAAATGACTCATTTTGCTGACCAGATTGCATCCTGTAAATAAACAGATTATAAAAATTCAGCAAGATCTACCGATTTATTTCTAATAACATGAGATAAACAATGGCTTGTTTGAATGATTTTTTTTAGATAATGATTATACTTAGGGGTAAAATTACAGCACGTATCAGACAGTTGTGACTGAGAAAGAAAAAGAAGAGAAATTGAAAAACAATGTATTTTTCAATGCAGTAAATGAAGCACATAGCTAATGACATGGTGAATCCTGCATGGCTTAGACAGGGGACGAGGGGGAAGTAAGGGGGGAGGTTTTAAAACTACAGCTTCCATGATGCTTTGTCATTCTAAAGGCAAGCAAAGCATCATGGGATCTACCTATTGGGTACCCCAGGCTTAGAATGTGAGATTTCCCCATGTCAAAACATGGACAAAATGGAAAAATCTTAATGGCGCCCCTCCCTCGCCTTGTCACAGAGCTCAACAACAATGCAACCCTCAGTAATGTGTCTATTAGTGTATCACAGAGCTCTCCAACTATAAAAACACAGAGTAATGTGCATTTTGTATGCCAGAGCTCCACTGTAATAAATCTCACTAAAATATGATGTAATGTGTGTGCTGTCTGTGTGTGTGTTAGGCTTGATGGCTGTGTGTAATATGTATGCTATGTGTTGGCTGTGTGTGATATTTGTAATGGGTGTATTAACTGTGTGTGATATATGTGTGTATTGCCAGTGTGTGATATTTGTGTTGGGTTTATTGGCTGTGTGTGATAGGTACTTAACTCAGATAAAAATATGCATGTAGGTTCATGTGTGAATACAGGTGTATATTTTTTGTAGAGTCAGATAGTTATATATGTACACTGTCAATTACAGCCACATGCACACTGTCCCAGGCACATAGTCACACACACAGTTACAGGTATATAGTCAAACAGTTATAGTCAGTCACACACATGCAGCCCCTCACACACAGTTGAAGGCAGACAATGGCAAACCCACACAGATACAGGGCAGCAGTCACATACATACAGCCACACAGACAGTAATACACATACACTTATAGGTGGGGACACACATAGTTACAGTCATACACACAGGCAGACAGTCACACACACAAACAGGCAGATAGTCACACACACAGGCAGACAGTCACACACACACACACACATAGTTGCAGTCACACACAGGCAGACAGGCAAACACACACACACACACACACACACACGCAGACAGTCACACACATAGGCAATCACACACTTAGTTACCTATGTGTAGTGGAGGCAGTGGAGGCAGTGCAATTCCTGGAGTCTGGTGGTTGTTGGTAGCAGGGACTCCTTCCTGCTTTCCCCTTCCTGTGAAGCTTTTGCTTCTGCGCGCTTGTAGCTCCGCACCTGCTGACATTGAGACCCCACCTCTGCTGTTCAGTAAACCCCCCCTCCCCCCCTGGCCACACAGCAAGCCCTGCCCCCGCTGTCATATTTTTTTATTTGAACATCCACCATTGTAGCTGGACATGTGTGAGCTGTGTCGGTCACATGGCGCCCCCTGCTGCCATGGCACCCTGTGTGCTGCACAGCTTGCACACCCCTAAATGTGAAGTTACATTTTCTTCCCTATAAGGGATTGGGCATATTTTGAGTTTCTTAACACTATGATTATATCACCATTGTGGGTCATTAACTGTTTAAGATTCAATCACATATGAAGAATGTGAAGATTTTTTACTGATGTCCTTTGCTTTTTTTGATGGATGTTTTTTAATTTATTACTGTTGTCTCAACCATGTGTATGTGATTGGCTATTCTTGGGTCTGGGTTAAGAGTGAGTAATCCTCACTGAACAAAACTGCTAACAGGTAAAAATGTTGCCTAGCAACAAATCTGAGAATATAAGAACTCTGAGAATGGACAAAAACTTAATTAAATTCAATAGCTTGCCCTTCAGTAAATAATTTTGGTTCTGGACTGTCCTTATGGGCGGGATCAGTCTGACGTGCAATGGTATAGGTTCTTTCGGCAATGGCACAAGCGAGCTAAAACTATTTTGAGGCCTAAGTGGGGATTTACCGAAGGACAAGCTACCAAGTTTCTCTAAACTCTTGTGCATTCTAGACACCTCCCTGGACTGACAAGGAAGGGGGGACATGACTGCGGCTAGGTTAAGGAGTCTTGAAGGAGTAGTGGAAGGGAGGGGTATAGATGGATACATAGTTGCTAATATGGAAGACAGTTATAAGCACAGTTAGGGGAGGGGACTTACCAGTCAGCTTTTGGAAGTGCAGGGATCCTGACTTTCATCTGTCCTTATTTGCTGACCCATTTAAAAAAAAAAAAAAAAAGAACACTATTATTCTTCAGAATTTCACCTTACCTGTTTTTCCTGAATTTCTGAGGGTGATGGAAGTTTCCCAGGAATCATTGGTGGCCCTGTTGCAGGCTTACCGGGCTGCACATGGTGCAGGCTCGTTGGCAGCGGTGTTGGCCGGCATGGACGGTGTCCCAGGTGAAGAGGCAAGGCCAGTGGATGAGGGGCGGCGGGCCAGGCGTTCAAGGCCGCCGTCGCGACTGTCTCCCAGCCCGGTGAGAGGAGAGCGAGAAGGCCGCAGGCGCAGGCGGACTGGTGTGGCTGGTGATGTGGAGCTGAGCCTTGGGTCCCCCCCCCGTGCGGTCCGGTCCCAGGTGAGGGTTGCGGTGGCCTCCGGCGGCCATTCCCAAGATGGCGGCATGGCGGGAAGGTCGAGGAGCCCGCCGCCTTCTCTTCCGGCGCGGCCGGAAGTGACATCACGATGCCGGTCACGCACGGCCGGCGCGCCGGATGTGACCTCATCTGCCGGCGACGGGCAAAACCCGGAAGTGGGTGCCCGCAACGGAAATAGGAGGCCGGGCGCCAGGAGATGGCAGGCGCCGGCTGAAGAGACCGGAAATAGGAGTGCTGTGACCCGGACAGCAGCCCCAAGGAGATGGTAGTCCCCAGGACCGGGCAGTTCAAGGGGTGCTGCGGATCAGGCGGCAGCCCCAAGGTTGCAGGGCTGCCAGGATGCCGGCGGTCGGGAGGCCGTGTCGGTTGCAGCCCCCCTGGGAGCTGGGAGGCTCCAGGGCGATTCCGGAGAGGAGGAGGAGTCCGAGGAGGAGCGTGAAGCTGATGGAGAACGGCCCCTGCGCCTCCCCTCATTTGGTGAGTTGGCATGCGCTGGCGCTTGGGGTTCGGCAGGGGGATCTGGTCAGCCTGCTGAGGCTTTTAGTGGAGGGTCAAGCCAGGGGCAGTGGTCTAGGGGTTCAGGGTTCGGGTAGTTCGGATAGTTTGAGGGGGCAGGGGATGTGAGTTGGTTCCTTTCTCCCGGGGTGCGAACTGGCCCCTTTAGGTTTGCACGTGCCTGCTGAGGTGCAGGAGAAGATTATTCGGGGTGAGTATGTGGATCTCCTTTCGCTGGTTCCGCCGGACAAGGAGTCCGTGGACAGACCGCGCCGTGGTGAACAACTGGACGGAGAGAAGGGTAAGGCAATCCCGCGTACGTTCGGTAATTGGCTGCAGGGATTTAATATCTTTGCTAGCGTGCTAGTGCGTCGGTTCCCTGAGAGGGCCCCCTCGTTATTTGGGTATTTGGATTTAATTTGGGGCGCTTACAAGGTTTATGGGGGACAGTGCTGGTTCAAATACGACCAGCAATTCCGCCAGAAGATGGCGGCATGTCCGGGTATGGGCTTCGGGGTGCAGGACGGCAGCCTGTGGCTGCTACTGATGACCCCGTGTAGACCCTCCCCCTTTTCGGGGGCTGCCGGCGTCCCCACGGGGACGTCGGCAGGTCAGCAGAAGGGAGTTTGTTGGCTCTTCAACGAGAGCCACTGTAAGTGGTTTAGCTCTTGTAGATTCCGGCACGAGTGTGCCCATTGTGGGGGAGCCCACCCGGCTCTCCGTTGTTTCAAAAAGGGCAGACCGTCTGCCGCCAAGGGCTCTTGTAGGGACGACGTTCCTCACGGCGAGGACGCCGGTGAGCGTGGAAAAGATGCGTCCCTGGTTAAGCAAGTATCCTAAGAGCGACGTCGCAAGCCTTTTGTTCGACGGTTTTACAATGGGTTTCTGGATTCCCTTTGTGCTGTTGGACGAGGGCCGGTTTGCTGGGAATCTTCGGTCCACGCGGGGTAGGGAGGGTTTATTGCAGGAAAAGCTGGAGGTGGAGATTCAACGGGGCCGCATGGCCGGTCCCTTTGATTCCCCCCCATTCCACAACCTGAGGGTGTCTCCGTTGGGTCTGGTACCCAAAAAAGACAAATTCGGTTGATTCACCATCTCTCGTACCCTTCGGGGGCGTCGGTCAACGATGACATCGACAAGGATGCGTGCAGGGTGCGTTGTGCGTCCTTCGACTCGGCCTTGCTCCTCCTGCGGCGGGCCGGTCGTGGGGCTTTATTGGCAAAATCGGATATTGAATCGGCCTTTCGTTTGTTGCCGGTTCATCCGGATTGTTTTCACTTGTTGGGGTGTTTCGCGAACGGTTGCTTCTGTTATGATATGTGCATGCCTATGGGTTGCACTATATCTTGTTCTTATTTCAAACTGTTTTCTTCCTTTTTGGAATGGGTCACGTCTAGAGTTTCGGGTTTGGGGTCTTTGACCCATTACTTGGACGATTTTTTGTTTGTCGGTCCGTCGGGTTCCCAGGATTGTATGACGTTGCTTCGGGCCTTCCGGCGGGTAGCGTCGGAGTTCGGGGTTCCTGTATCGGAACAAAAAACGGTCGGCCCGGTGTTGGTTCTTTCGTTCTTGGGTATCGAAATCGATACCGAGAGCATGGTCTTCTGGCTTCCTGAGGAGAAGTTGGAGGGGTTGCTTCGGCTAGTGGACTTGGTCAAAGGTTCCAAGAAGGTTCAGTTGCGACAGATGCAGGGCCTTTTGGGGCACTTGGTTTTCGCATGTCGGATGTTACCGATGGGTCGGGCATTTTGTCGCAGATTGTCCTTGTCCACGGTGGGGGTGAGGGAACCCTTCCATTACATTCGGATCACGAGGCGCCTCCGGTCGGATCTGACGGTGTGGAGCTCCTTCCTACGTAGTTATAACGGGCATTCTTGTTGGTTGAGGGAGGCCACCTCCAATGCCGCGTTGGATCTCTTTACCGATGCCTCGGGGTCCGTTGGTTTTGGAGCGTATTTTCGGGGTCAGTGGTGCGCGGGGGAGTGGCCGGAGGATTGGCGGTCTTCCTTATTGAGGAGAAATTTGACCTTTTTGGAACGGTTTCCGATAGTGGTCGCGCTGGAGCTGTGGGGCGAGGATCTGAGAAATCACACGGTGGTCTTTCACACGGACAACATGAGTGTGGTTCATGTGATTACCCGTTCGTCCTCCTCGTCTCCACCAGTTTTGGCTCTTCTCCGTCACCTCGTGCTCCTTAGTCTTAAGTTTAATGTTTGGGTGCGGGCGCAGCATGTCCCGGGTGTTCAGAACGTGGTGGCTGATGCATTGTCTCGCTTGCAGTGGGAGCGGTTTCGCGAGGCAGCGCCAGAGGCGCAGCGGACCGGTCTGCGGTGTCCAGACTCCTTATGGAAGCTCGATTTCGAGGTCTGATGGGCTTGGTATCGGATTCCTTGGCGGAGTCTTCCTGGAAGGCATACCGGGCAATGTGGAGGCAGTGGCTGTCATCAGCATGGGACGGGGATGTGTCCACGGAATTGGGTCATGCGGAGAGGACGCTCGTGTTGCTGGATGACTTGGTCAGGAGAGGTAGGTCCTGCGCTGCAGTGGAGAAGCCGTTGGCTGCCCTGTCGTTCCTGTTTCGCTTTATGGGCTGGCAGGATGTTACTAAGGAATATGGGATTCAGAGGGTGGTCAAGGGTTGGCGGCTGCGGCGTCGCCCGGATGGTCGTCACCCAATTTCGGCTGAAATGTTGCGGCGGATTATTTTAGTACTACCGACGGTCTGTGGTTCGGAGTACGTATCGAAGCTGTTTCGCGTGGCCTTCTCGGTCTGCTTTTTTCGTGCCTTTCGCATCGGCGAGTTGGTAGCCCCGAGCAAGGGGAAGGCCTCGCCGTTGGCATTGTCGGATGTGCGGTGGTCTACTTCCACCATCGACATTTTTGTGCGGCGATCTAAGACGGACCAGGCGGCCCGGGGGGCCTGGGTTCGTTTGGGGGCCACGAGGGACGAAGTTTGTCCGGTTGGGGCCTTCCACGATTTTCTGGAGGTGCGCCCGGAGCGGGGAGGCCCTTTGTTAGCTCACGTGGACGGGTCTCCTCTAACCCGGTATCAGTTCTCGGCGATGTTGAAGAGAGCATTGGTTGAGAGTGGCATGGATGGTCACGGGTTTTCGGCCCATTCATTTCGGATCGGGGCGGTTACCCAGGCGAGTGTATTGGGGTACTCGGCTGCGGGAATTCAACGGATTGGAAGATGGGGGTCGGGGCGTTTTAAGTCTTATGTCCGACCTCATATGCTGTAACCCTCTTCTCGTTGTAGGTGGTCGGCCCCGGTACGTGTGGATTATAGGGCATTCCTATGTGTACTGGGCAGCTAGGCGAGCTGAAGGCCGGGCCTATGGATGGAATTTGGGGTTTTCGTTGGACGTGGCCAGAGTCAGGTGGAAGGGCATTAGGGGCCTCCGGTGGCAGCAAATTTATCCAGAGTTCGTGGCCCTGCGTAAGTTTGTGTCGGGGCCGGTGGTGGCGGTGGTCCACGCGGGCGGTAACGACTTAGGGGTATCCAGGAATGTGGACCTTCTCCACGCGATTCGGCACGACTTGGCGAGGTGCATGGCGCTCTTTCCAGACATGACCTTGGTTTGGTCGGAGGTGGTTTCCAGGCCGTGCTGGCGCGCGCTTCCGCACTCTCGCGGTTTGGAGAAGAGCCGGCGCAAGCTGAACATCGCAGTGGGGAAATTTGTACGGCGGCTAGGTAGGGCGGTCATCCGACACGTGGAGCTGGAAGGAGAAAACCAGAACTTGATGAGAAAGGATGGGGTCCACTTAAATGAAATAGGGTTAGACATCCTGAACACGGGTTTGCAGGGTGGGATTGAGGCTGCGCTGTCGGCGGGGGGCGCGATGACGGCAGGAGGCGTGAAGGGAAGTCGTCATCACGGTGGCGGGAGTCCTGGCCAGCGCAGGCAGAAGTGGTGAAGTTGCCGAGGAGGCTTGGGGAGTTGCAGCCTGTTGGGAGCTGATGGCGGAGGCAGGCTGCTCAGGACTCATGGTTTGTGGGGATAGACCTGTCTGTTGGGCAATCACCCCAACAGCTGACAGTATGATTATGTTGCTGGCATGGAAAGAATAAATAAAGCTGTGGCCGATGCCCTTACCCAACTTAATTACGGTCTCTGTGTGTCATTGGGGAAAGGGGGGCATCGGGTGGGTGGTACAGACATCTAGACAGCAGTCAAGACACCTCCCTGGACTGACAAGGAAGGGGGGACATGACTGCGGCTAGGTTAAGGAGTCTTGAAGGAGTAGTGGAAGGGAGGGGTATAGATGGATACATAGTTGCTAAGATGGAAGACAGTTATAAGCACAGTTAGGGGAGGGGACTTACCAGTCAGCTTTTGGAAGTGCAGGGATCCTGACTTTCCCGCCCTCCCGCCCCTAGGACATTTGGTTATACAGGAATGTGGGTTGGTTTTCTGGTGCCTGTTGTTGGTTGTCTTTTTCTTGTTTTTGTCACAGCACGCGGGAGTCCTGGCCAGCGCAGGCAGAAGTGGTGAAGTTGCCGAGGAGGCTTGGGGAGTCGCAGCCTGTTGGGAGCTGATGGCGGAGGCAGGCTGCTCAGGACTCATGGTTTGTGGGGATAGACCTGTCTGTTGGGCAATCACCCCAACAGCTGACAGTATGATTATGTTGCTGGCATGGAAAGAATAAATAAAGCTGTGGCCGATGCCCTTACCCAACTTAATTACGGTCTCTGTATGTCATTGGGGAAAGGGGGGCATCGGGTGGGTGGTACAGACATCTAGACAGCAGTCAAGTATTCTCTGATTTTGTAAAAATGCTGCCTAACCTACTTTATTGATGGTGAAATCAGTGTCATTGGTATTTATAGTGTTGTGGCTAAGACTACTTTCCTTTATACACACTACTACACATACCTACACACACTGCTACACCTCTGCTACCCACATCATTACTGCTGCCCACAATATTACACACACTACTGCACAGGCACATATATATATATATATATATATATATACACAGAGACACACACGAGCACACAGGCCTACACATACATACATATACACACAGAGACACTTACACCCTATATTTGTATGCATGCACATATACAACATTTCTATTATATTTAAACAGAGTGGAGGTATTGGGGGGTCTTGACAAAGATCCATCTGTGGGTCAAAATGTTGCGGTGTTCACCTTGCGGAAATAAATGTGCCGATAGAGCATTAGACTGCCTGGACCTTCCTTCTTCAATCAGTGTTTAAATTGTGCGGGACTGGTGCTGGGTCTGGTAGCACCCATTGGTAGCTCATGTGATTTGAGTGCAATTGCCTCTTATGATGCTTCGCCAGCATTCTGGCTGTAAGAGCATTGTGGGAGCAGTGGCGTACATACCGCGGTCGCAGGTCCCCGCCGCCATCTTTATCGCCCCCGGCCCACGCAGGAAACGACCGGGGCTGCCGTCCAAGGGGTCCATCAGGTGGCCCATGATGTTAGGGCCACCCAATGGGTATGGATTGTCAGGGGGCCCGGTCAGCGCTTTAAGACCGCGACCGGGCCCCCTGTGATGAGATCACTGCTGGGAGGAAGTGACTGCCCCGGTCACTCCTCCCAGATAACACACAGAGCCTGCACGGGAGGAAGGTGAGAACTGAGTCAGAGTGGGAACTCTGACTCCCATCAACCTGAGCCACCACTGGACCCCAGGGAAAGTCACCCTCCTGCATCTAAAATGTAGGAAACAGGAGGGTGACTAAAATATTTTGTGTGTGTGTGTTTGTGTCTGTATGTATGTGTTTGTGTGTCTGTATGTCTGTCTGTATGTGTGTGTGTGTGTGTCTGTCTGTGTGCCTATCTGTATGTATGTATGTGTGCCTGTGTGTATGTATGTATGTGTGCCTGTCTGTTTGTATGTATGTGTGTGTGCCTCTATGTGTGCCTGTCTGTGTCTGTGTGTGTTTCGGTCTGTATGTGTCTGTCTGTAACTATGTATGTATGTATGTATGTGTGCCTGTCTGTTTATATGTATGTGTGTCTTGTGTTTGTCTGTGTGTATGTATGTGTCTATGTATCTGTCTGTCTGTATGTGTCTATGTGTGTGTGTGCGTGTGTGTCTGTATGTGTGTGTGTCTGTCTGTCTGTCAGGGTGGGGGGAAGAGGGGGGAGAGGGATGTGGGGTGGGGGGGCTATGGATAAGTGTCGCACCGGGGTCCCATGGATTGTGTGTACGCCACTGTGTGGGAGATGTGGTCCACAGCATCTGGAATGCCAAAGGTTGCGATGTTAGATCCAGGAGATAATTGCCTTGATCCATCTGTCTACTTTTAATGGGAAAACACCAGATGAATAATGATTAATATTAATAAATACAAAATTTTGATTTTAACACTGCATATATACATATAGAAATGTTCATTAAAACATATAAAAGTCTACCTTTCTCTTTTTGTCTGTTTTATGAGTTCTTGCATTCTGTAGGTTTTCAGGGAATGTATGCTATGACTGTCATTTCCTCTCAGTGGGATTAATGTTTTTCATTGGATTTAAGATTAAATGCCATTGCTTATATTGTAATTCTTCTAACAAAGTCGAAACACAGAAAGAGATTGTAAGATATTTTTAATCTTTTATCTGTGCTACATGCATATATTAATGGAATGTGTGTTTTTTTCTATTCTTCAATGGAATGGAGGAGTAGAAATAAAAAATAAAAAATAAATCTCCAAGCATTTTAAACAAAGCACTGAAAAGCAGGTAAGATTAAATCTAACAATGGCAAATCTGATTGTCCTGCAAATAAGGTGAAATTTGGGTCACCGAATAGGCATTCATTTCTTGAACAAAATTATTCCATTCACAAAGACGGACAATTTGTATCTGTATGATGTAATGAACACTGTTAACCCTTGATTTTCAATACTGTTTAAAATGCAAATTTAAACAATTTTCCAATGATTTGTTGGAGGAGCTATATACTATATTATATAATTGATTATGAAAAGCGGGGGCTGCACTTATCTGAACATGCATAAATGGTGTGCTGCTCGGGCCAATTCATACAATACAAAAGATCCAGCGAACTATATATTTGGGAGTCTAGGCCAACTCCTTAGTTTTGCACCGCTCTCTGTCACAGGTGCCTCATTCCAGAGCCCTATTTAACCTTATACTGTACTTATATGTAACTTACATTGAAGTTTTTCCAAGTAAGTGAGTTAATCTCATGATAGCAGACATTAGAAACATAGCAACATAGAATGTGATGGCAGGTAAGAATCATTGGGCCCATCTAGTCTGGCTAATTTTCTAAATACTTTCATTAGTCCATGGCCTTATCTTATAGTTAGGATAGCCTTATGCCTATTCCAGGCATGCTTAAACTCCTTCAATGTGTTAACCTCTACCACTACAGATAGAAAGGCTATTCCACGCGTCCACTACCCTCTCAGTAAAGTAATAATTCCTGAAATTATTTGTAAACCTTTGCCCCTCTAATTTAAGACTATGTCCTCTTGTTGTGGCAGTTTTTCTACTTTTAAATATAGTCTCCTCCTTTACTGTGTTGCTTCCCTTTATGTATTTAAATGTTTCTATCATATCCCCTACCCCCCGTCTCAACTGTCCTCCAAGCTATAAATGTTAAGATCCTTTAACCTTTTTATATAAGTTTTATCCTGCAATCCATGAACCAGTTTAGTAGCCCTTCTCTGAATTATTTCTAAAGTATCAATATCCTTCTGAAGATACGGTCTCCAGTACTGCGTACAATACTCCAAGTGAGGTCTCACCAGTGTTCTGTACAATGGCATGAGAACTTCTCCATTTCTACTGCTAATACCTTTCACTATACAACCAAGCATTCTGCTAGCATTTCCTGCTGTTCTATTACATTGTCTGCCTACCTTTAAGTTATCTGAAATTATTTCCTCAGATGTTGAGGTTAGTAGGGTATAAAATATTCTATACTCTGCCCTTGGGTTTTTACACCCAAGATGCATTATCTTGCACTTATCCACATTAAATGTCAGTTGCCACAGCCATTTTTCTAGTTTACCTAAATCATTTGCCATGGCTTATCCCACCTGGAACATCAACCCTTTTTGCAAATCTTAGTACCATCAGCATAAAGACATACCTTACCATCTGCAATATCACTAATAAAAATATTAAAGAGAATGGGTTCAAGTACAGATCCCATAGGTATCCCACTGGTAACTAAACCTTGTTTCAAATATACTCCATTGACTACAACCCTCTGTTGCTTGTCACTCAGCCACTGCCTAACCCATTCAACAATATTGTAATCCAAATTTAAAGATTGCAGTTTATTGATAAGCCTTCTACGTGCAACAGTGTCAAAAGCCTTACTGAAATCTAGGTAAGCAATGTCTACTGCACCACCCTGATCTAATATTTTAGTTACCCAATCAAAAAATCAATAAGATAGGTTTGGAATGATCTCCCTGATATCTCTAATGAGACAGAGAGGGATATTTTTTATATACACCCCTATATACTTATTAACCCTTAATAGGGAACACATGGGATGGGCGGCAACATTGTAACAAGGCTGTGTGATACAAAGTAAATACAAATACAAAAAGAGAAGAACTGCGCTCACTCCCATCACTACTGGGCCGGCAGCAATTACTACAGTACACATCAGCCCCAATATATAGTGAAAACCAAAGAAAAGAAAAAGTTACCTGCGGGAGTGAGCGCAGGACTTATCTTTTTGTATTTACTTTGTATCACACAGCCTTGTTACAAATTCTGCCGCCCATCCCATGTGTTCCCTATTAAGGGTTAATAAGTATATAGGGGTGTATATAAAAAATACCCCTCTTTGTTATATCTTTGCCAGAAGCTCAAGGAAGCAGGCTGAAGGGTCAGTGTAGGACCCTCTTAGGGGGGTCTGCCTTGACGTTGGCAGGCGGATATTCCCTCCAATGGCCATTGGAGTAACTAAATGACCTCCATATGTCTAAATATACATAGGGATTAAGGAGAGAGCACAGGTAACTTTTTTTTTCTTTGTTTTTTACTATATATTGGGGCTGATGTGTACTGTAGTCATTGCTGCTGGCCCAGTAGTGATGGGAGTGAGCGCAGCACTTCTCTTTTTGTATTTCTAATGTTACCACTGCCCAGCTTTGTGAATGTCCCAAATCTATTCAGCCAAGGCATGTGCATGGGGAACATTTTCGGTTTGGTTCG